ATTTTATATTAATATATAAATTTTAAAAATCTTTGTAGTTTAAACATACAAATAATAAATATTTTACAATAAAAATTTATTTATAATTTTAAATATAATACAATAAATTAGAAAATATCTCCACATAGATTTAAAGTTATACTACCAATATATCATTTACAGGTTACAGAATTAAATTTTCTTTATTAGAACGATAGAGCATTTTAAAAATGTATCGATTTTTTAATAAAAATAAAAATAATATGTAAATTTTTTCAAAAAAATCTTACTTAGTGCGCCAATCATAGTGCTGCACTATGTTTGTAAATCATTTGGCGTATAACACCCCACTTTGAGTAGGTAAAAAGTCTTTAAGAATATCCAAAATTTTGGATTTATCGACGATTTCAGGATGATTCACATCATCTCCGCTCATTAACCCCCCATAAACACCTTCAACAAAACATCTATAAATAAAAGGTACAAAACTTTGAGCAAACGTTGCGTTGAATCCTTTTAGTACAGTGATATCATGATTATGCTTAACAAGAGTATCACCATATTCACGTAATAATTCAGTGATGGACATAAGATTTTGCGAAATGTGTTTTCCAAGTGGATGAAACAAAGACACTGGAGCTACCAGACGTAAGGAATTAAAGGCCATTAGGTAAGCATTTGCCAAATATGCGATTGGAGGGTAATCTAATAGAATAACTAAAGGAGTAAATGAAGAAGTAGTAGATGCCGATGTAGATGAAGCCAAAGATGGTCGTAGATCCAATAAATTAGAGGATTTTTTATCACCAATCATCCATGTACTAGGCATGTCAACATTTTTAGAAGCCTCTTTCAAGTCGTCGCAAAGTTCTTGTGTTCCACCTGTGATCATCTTTTTTATTATCTGTTCAATAGCAGTCTCAAAATATCCAGTAACAAGATGTCGAAAATCCACACCAACTCTCCCAAGTGACATTCCACAGTACATAAGTTGTGTTAATATAGATGAAAGAGATGAAGTATCAGAGATTAAAGGAGTAAATTCCGCAAGAACAGAAGTTAATTGACCAAGAATATGAATTGTATAATCAGAAATGGCAGTTGCTGCAGTCATCGTACGTCTGCCCAATAAATTATCATTTATATCCGACTGTGAAGACGACATCCAAGGAGATGATGGTGTAGGAGGTATCATAAATGATGAATATATAGGTGTTGATGCCAAACCACCGCCTTCATCAGAAAATATTGCACGATATTGCGTAACAATATCGAAAAAATTTTCTCTAAATATGTCAATATACTTTTTCAAGTAATGAACAGGATCTTTTTTTTCCTTATCAATAGTACGAATTAATGATCTCAAATAAGCATCTCTAGAAAGCAAAAACACTAGTCTTAACTCAGCCTCATCAAACGCCTCCATACGTCTGAGATAACCAATTACTTTTAGACAGCTTGGTAGTTTTATTTGTTGACTCAAGAGAGTTATTAATTTTGATAACATGAGTTGCATTGTCTGTTTCACATCTCGTTCAATATGTTGAATTAATGGGATTGTAGAATACCTTGAGACTAATCTCGCAACGTGTGCAGAAAGATCCATTACTTCAGAATAAAGACCATTCCGAACACATGTATCCATTAATTGTGGAATTTCTAAAATTTCTAGCAAATTATCGTGATGCTCCAAAATTGTATTAATCTTATCGCGTTGTTGAATATTCTGACTTATTTGTTGTGAAAAGGAAGTACATGATTTTTCTAATAATGGAATTGTTGTCATTAATGTCAATAAATGCAAATTTAAATTATCAAGAGAGGAATTGATCTCGGTTGAACACGTATTAGCGTGAATACATGACTTGTACTCCCGAAAGGAAAGCTCAGCTAACTCTTTTTGTATTTTCGATTGTTCATCTTTGACTAGTATTGGTTCGTGTTTAAGTGACTCTAATGATAGTGACGTAAGTCTATTCAGGTAATCTTTACTCCAGTCGTTATTCACTAAATCTCGTTGTGGTAAGGAGTCTGATAAAAATGTTAACAAAATTTCCTGCCCACTCGTGTCAGGGACTGCTTGTGTGTAAATCGTGGTTACGACACTTGTTTCAGAATTTTTTGTTAGTTGAGATTCATCCATATTTTTATGAAGAATTTTGTTAAATATCGCAGGTTAATATTTAAAAAAAAAAAAAATTAAAATTCGGATTAGTTAGGGTTAGGGTTCGAGTGCATATATATATGCAAAATTTAAGAGCTGAAAACTTTTAATTAGAAGCCCAAGACTAGTTTACATAATAAAATTTTAAAGGTGTCTAATTGTTATTATACTATTATAAAGAAAACCGAACGATGATTACAGTAATCAAAGCACTACAGGCTTAGCGGAATTTGTTTTAATACGTTATTTTTTTGATCGATCACAATCTCTGTACGTATAAATACATTTCTAAAACATGTGATTTAATTTTATGTACAATTTTAGTATATATCAAAATTAAAAAAAAAAAATTAACACAGAATATATATGAATTTAAATTGTTTTCTTTTAGGTGATGCATAACTTTTGCGCGCCACTATACATACTTTTATCCTTACCTCTATCAAAAAAAACTTTATTCGCTTGGGGCGTTATACATTTATCTTTAGGGATTATACTGTGGCTAAAAGGTCAATGGAGTAACGGATTAGGTAGCAATATTACTTGGTTGCTTGACTGATATTATATTTATAATTCAAAATTTTAAAATTGTATTATACCCGTCTAGCTCTTACAGGGTTCTCTTACCTCGTAATCTTTGATGCGATGGGTGTATTCATGACATTTATTTCGTCCGTACTGGCAACATATGGATCACTGCGACTTTCTTCGATACGAAACCCATTCGGGTATGGTTTTTCATTTTTATTCAAAATGTATTATAAAATGTATTTAATTTATTAGGTAATTACACTTTAATATTCTTAGTATTCAGCGATTTGAAATATTATTTGGTTTTGTGAATACATTATACCTTTTATTCGTTGCTTTATATATGTTAAAAGAAGGATTGGAGCATTTAATATTAGAATCGAATGATGAGCATTCTAATGTTCTTAGGTAATTGGTAATAATATTCCCAGTTATTGGGGAATTATGTCTTTTATATACATCGTTTTTAATTTCTTTGCTGATATTCGCAATTTTTGAAATGCCTCACTATTAGTCACAAAATTCCAATCTTTTGGGTATTACTAACCATGTGTGCCACATTAACATCAGCAATTGGGTGTCAAAATCATAAAGGGTTTTATGCATGTAAGTTAATTTGCCACTCAAAAATTTTTATATGTTTAGTATCTTCACACTTACAACGTTTTTTATTATAATTAACAATAGTATCAAGATCAAAATCGTTTAATGAAGGAAAACTTGCTTATGATGTGCAATCAAATTTTAGGTTATTATTAAGACTTTTTAATGTCTATACAATAACCTTGTTATTTTGTGGCACGGGGGTAGTAGTGATTGGACTCCTGCAAGAAAAAATGTGAGGAATAATTTTTTAATTTATATATCAAAAAAAAAAAAGAATCAATGAATAACTCCATTTTTAATTTATGATTTGTTATATAGCCGAAATTTAGGTTGGTTGGATGAATTAATGTCGATCTTAGAATCAATATTAATGTTTTAC